AAAAAAAAGAATGGGAATTCCAGAACACTTAATTGTACTCATGAGGAACCTGTACATAGACCAGGAGGCTGTCCTTCGAACAGAACAAGGGGATAGTGCATGGTTTTAAATCAGGAAGGGAGTGCATGAGGGTTGCATCGTTTCACCATACTTACTCAATCTGTATGCTGAGCAAATAATCAGAGAAGCTGGACTATATGAAGAATATGGCATCAGTATTGGAAGAAGGCTCATTAACAACCTGAGATACACAGATGACAAAATTTTGCTTGCTGAAAGTGAGGATGACTTGGAGCACTTACTCATGAAGATTAAAGACTACAGTCTGCAGTATGGATTACACCTCGATATAAAGAAAACCAAAATCCTCACAACTGGACCAATAAGCAGCATGATGATAAATGGAGAAAAGATCGAAGTTGTCAAAGACTTCATATTACTTGGTTCTACAATCAGTGCCAATGGAAGCAGCAGTCACGGCATCAAAAGACATATTGCATTGGACAAATCTATTGCAAAAGACTTCTTTCACATACTGAAGAGCAAAGATATCTCCTTGAAGACCAAGATGCACCTAACCCAAGCCATGGTATTTTCAGTAGCGTCATATGCATGTAAGAGCTGGACAACGGATAAAGAAGACCAAAGAAGAGTTGATGCTTTTGAGTTGTGGTGTTGATGAAGAATGTTCAAAGTACCATGGACTGCTAAAAGAACTAACAAATCTGTCCTGAAAGAAGTGTAACCAGAATGCTCCTCGGAAGTGAGAATGGCCAGACTTCATCTCACCTACTTTGGTCATGTTATCAGAAGGGACCATTCTCTAGAGAAGGATGTCATGCTTGGTAAAGTGGAGGGTCAACAAAAAAGGGGAAGGCCCTCAACAAGACGGATTGACACAGTGGCTACATCACTGGGCTCAGGTTTAGTAGGGATTGTGAGGCTGGCACAGACCAGGTAGTGTTCGTTCTGTTGTACATAAGGTTACTATGAGTCGGAGATGACTCGACAGCACATAGCAACAACAACCATTACAACCATACTGGACTAGCAAAATTTTAAGTCTAACAATACCAAGTACTGGCAAGGTGTGGAGCAAAGTTACTTTTATGGCTAGAAAGAGAACAAATCATTATACAGAATATTTTGGCAACATCTATTAAAGAAATTCATATGAGTTACCCAGTAACTCCACTCCTAAGCAAATGCCCTAAAGAAATGAATGTGTGCGCACCAGAATATAAAACCATAGTCATAACATTCATTGTTTAAGTACACTGCCGTGAAAATTAATGAATTAGGAGTGTACTCCAAAATGATTAAATCTCTAAAACAATGTTTAATGAAAGAAAAGAATGTATTTAGCTGAGTAGTGTCTGGGATAGTAAAAGCTTGTACACAGCTATCTAAGATACAACTATTAGTGTCTTCCTGTCTGCACAAAGGAGAGTGAAGGAAACTAAAGACTCAAGGTAGAAATTAGTCCATAGGACTAATGGCCCACAAGAACTGCAGCCTTTTCTAGCTGAGACTAGAAGAATTAGATGGTGGCTGGCTACCACTACACTGCCACCGTTCTGACCAGGGACACAATAGGTGTCAGTTATGATGGAAGAAAAATGTAGAACAAAACTCAAATTTCTAAAAGTGACAAGACTTACTGTATCAACAGAGACTAGAGGAACCACTGAGACTATCTCCTTAAAAATACCCTTTGAACTTAGAATTTAAGTCATTCCCCATGGTCTTCCAAATCATAGATTGGCTTATAAAATAAACAATATCACCTGTGACCAGTGTGCTACCTTAAACTAATCAACTATATGAGACCAAATGGTCAACATTTACCCCAAAACAAAAAGAAGCTAAGAAGGAACAGGGAAGCTAGATTAATGGAAGAAAAAAAAAAAAAAAAA